TTGATATTCCATCAAACGAAGCCTCAAACAAAATGGCCTTTGTCTGCATAGATTATTAATTGGAATGTCTTACTAAGGAAAAAGAAATTTGCAGGAAAACTGAGAATTCATTATATACAACCTACATCATTCACGAAAGAAGACATTTAAAAAATAAATCAAAACCCTTCACTTCTTTTTTATTGACATGAAAAAGGACGATGAATATCTGACGTCTTTATACTGGATACATAAACCACCCAAATCCTTATGAAGATCAATATATAGCCAGGTCGTAAAGTCTAAAAATCTAAAAATCTTTCTCAATTTGTTATACCACCATTCATTATTTACACTAGACATTACCTTTACAAGCTAAGTATATTCAACCAGCCGTGTGAATCAGATGTGAATTCAGGTCACGAAAAATATAACTTTATGAATACTGCTTCCAACATGTCAAATGCTGACCTATTTAGACATATTTGATGGGTTCATCGTCCAACAGACAGTCGGTATTCTTATTGGTACTCATTGTACTGGCTGACTTGATTTTTATACTTTGATGGAGAAATATTCATACAGAGGCTTCTAAAAGACACTAAAGCATATTGCAAAGTTCTTTTATTTCAATCTAAGACATATTAACGATGTCCTGTCACTCAATTATCCACGTTTAAGTGAGTGCTCACATCTTATCTATCTCAGTGAACTTGAGATTAAGGATGCTACCGAAACTAGAAGGTCTACTTCATATCTTGATTCTTTTCCTCGATATTGACTCAGATGGATGACTTCAAACTAGAATCAATGATAAACATGATGATTTCAACTTTCCAATTGTCAACTTCCCTTTTTCTCAGCCGTGACATACCCTCTGTCCCATCATATTAATACGTTTTTCGCATGTTTACACAAAATCTGCTACAACAGAGTTATAAGGAACGACGATTGGCATCGTCACATAAATTTATGGTCATCACGAACTGGTTGACAGATACGATGTGTCTGTGTCTTAACTCACTAGTGACATGTTTTTGCGGTCTAGATCTTTAGACACCAGAATGATTTTCTGATCTGTAAATTTACCGATTGTGTCATATTCCCGATTATGACTTTTTTATCTGAGTGTGGATTCGCATGGCTGGTTACTCATCAATAGCATGAGACGCTTATCCTGTCAACGCACCTGGTCTCGCTCTATTCGGAGTTCATTCGATTTCAGTTTTTTGTTACCTTGATTTGTATCTTCTGAAACGATATCTGGGATTTTACATCGGTAAAACTTTTTTCAACAAACAATCGGCATCATCACGAATTGGTTTCCCATGAGAGCCAACTGTGTTTCTCTTCTTGCTGACTTGTTCCTTTATAGTTATGAGGCTGATTTCATACATGAATTTAGGAAGAAAGAAAAGAAGTTAGCGTCGATCCCATCGAAATTGAGATAAAGGATACAACAGATACAGTTAAGTCGGCCTCATATCTTGACTTACATCTAGAAATTGACAATGATGTTCGGTTGAAAACTAACTTTACGACAAAAGAGATGATACCAGCTTCCCAATTGTGAACTTCCCATTTCAACAGCACCTGCATACGGAGTATATATCTCCCAGCTGATGCGAAATTCTCCGGCATGTATTTCCTATTATGATTTCCTTGATAGAGGGTTGCTCCTCACAAGGAAGTTATTAAACCAAAAATTCCAAGTGGTGAAGTTGACATCGTCCTTTCGTAAATTTTACGGACGCCATCACGATCTGGAAGACCGTTATGGAATATCTGTTTCATAGATGATAACAGATATGTTCCAATTGTCGTAACTACAATCGCGTCCCCTTTTCCCCGAATGTGACCTACCGTATTAGACTTATCACCGGGTTTGTACTAACACGAGCAACACGACAGGTGACATGTGGGGAGCAGGATTTGCTTACCCTTCTGAAGCACCTGAGGTCACCCTCCGTTTTTTGGTGGGGTTCGTGTTGTTCAGTCTTAAGTGTTCTATGTTGTGTTTTGTGTACTGTTGTATTTTTGTCTTTTTCTCTTTAGACATGGCGTTATCGGTTTATTTTAGACTTGTTAATTTGAATGCCCCATTGGTATCCTTCGCCTCTTTTTTAATTATAAATTATATAAAACTGCTGATGCCTTAATTTATAGTTGTTTTGTACTTTCTCTTTTTCTATCTGCTTTTAAGCGTTTGTGTTATCTTTCGTACCTTTTGTGTTATATATGTTTTGTATCTTCTGTGTTATTGACTGTCGTTTGTCGTCTGTGTTGGATCTTTTTCTGTACGGTCTGAGTTGTTCCTGCTTTTTTACGGTCTGTGTTATAACTGTTTTATACCTTTTTGTTATATCTGCTTTGTACCATAATTGATATGTCTACTTTGAACCATCTTTGTTATGTCTGATTTGTTGGTTTTATATATTGTCTGTTTTATCTGTTTCGTTATTTGTTTGTGTTATATCTGTTTTGTGTTGTCTGTTTTATGTTTCTTTTGTCTGTGTCATATCGGTTTTTACTGTCTTACGTAGACGAAATACACGTCAGGCGTATCAAATTATAAGTCTGATATCTTTAATGCAGTGTTTAATCACAGGGTCGATGCCATTGGTGATGGACGTTTCGTTACAGAAAGTATCATCATCCCAGAAGCCAGAAATTTGTGTTCACATGAGATATTATTTGACATTGTCAATTTTTATTTGTGAAATTTAAATTGTCTGAAACACTTAGGTTTCCTTCCACCAGGTAGAAATGGCCTTATGCGTATCTTGCACAATATTTTGATTTTTTTGGGGGTCGCAATGCTCTTCAACTCAATGTTTGATTTTACAGCCTTCCAACTTTTTTGTTATAAAAGCAACGGATGAGTCTTATGTAAACGAAACCTGCGTCTGATGTAAGAAATTATCAATCTAATTGAAATTAAGTCTCCGCGCTTGCCCCTCATTTTCGTTCGGTTGTTTTTGTTGTCTCACGCGCGACATATAAACCAACGAATGCAAATGAGGAGCAAGTGCGGAGAACTAATTTTAATTAGATTGAGAAATCGTGTGCTTGGTGTCTTCGATGAGTTTTCTTCATCACTTTGTTACATATGTTAATTTTATGCTGAAATATATTTGTACCTACATAGTTATACATGTTTCGTACCTTTTGTTTATATCTGTTGTGTCTGTTTTATTTTACCTTCTATTTTATATCTGTTTCGTGTCTTCTGTATCTCTTTTGTTATCGCCTGTATTTTATCTGATTTTACTGTCTTGATTATTCGAAACGTGCGTCTGGGGTATCAAATTATAAGCCTGGTATCTTTGATACGATTTTACAACTACTGTTTCGATGCCACTGCTGGTGGACGTTTCATCCACGAGATTATCACCATCCCATGCGCGGCCGGCCCAGTAGTCGTCATTCTGTTTTATTCTTACTATGATATATCTGAACCTTCTGAGTTATACCTTGATTTGATGACCATGGTCGTTGCCAAAATCCATTCTCCAATTCTCATTCATTTCAACGGAATGCGACTTACTTCCGAATTGGTTTTTCATTAAATGGTCAGGAATACGTGTCAGATGCCACTCGTGGAGCAGGAATTACGCGCCTGTCTTGAACATCCCATTCCAATTCCAGCTTCTGATGGTGGTTCGTCATGATCAATCTTTATTGTTTTGTGTGTAGTGTTTCATGACTGATATTTGCCTGTTTGTCCTTTTCATTTTGCTTATGGATTTTGTTTTTTTTTTTTACATATAGCACAGGAAAATATTGTTATCCTTTGTACATTTATGCAATTTCTCCACGTTTGATAGGTTTGTTTTTTTATTGTTTTGGCTGTATACTGTATATAATTACAGTTTGAAATACAAACTTTACATTTACGAAGTTCTGAAACAGGTAGACAAACGCTCGCCGAGAATTTGTTACCCATATTGTAGCTAGTACAAATGAATTTGATATTTTTTTCAGATAACTTAATAATATTGTTTTTAACGTGGAATTTAAACTAACGCTTAAAATGTTTCTTTTAATTGCTAACCAATGCCTTTGTTTTTGAAAAGAATTTCACAAGTATTTCCTATTATGATTTCATAGACAGAGGGTTGCTGCTCATAAGGAAGCTATTAAACCAAGTGTTCCAATTGGTAAAGTAAATTTTACGGACGCCATCACGAGTTGGTTGACCGATATGGAAAATCCGTTTCACAGATGATAACAGATATGTTCAAATTGTCGTAGCTTCAATCCCGTCCCCTTTTCTCCGAATGTGACCTACCGAATTAGACTTATCACCGGGTTTGTACTAACATGACGGGTGCCATATGTAGAGCAGGATCTGCTCACCCTTCCTGAGCGCCTGAGATCACCTCCAGTGTTTGGTGCATCCCCCCCCCCCCCACCACCACCACCATGGAGTTCGTGTTCCTCAGTCTTTAGTTTTTATGTTGTGTTTTTTGTACTGTTGTTTGTCTGTTGGTCTTTTTCTGTTTTAGCCATGGCGTTGTCAGTTTATTTTCGACTTATGAGTTTGAATGTCCCTTTGCTATCTTTCGCCTCTCTTTTACACGAAATTACACCGAAAACAATTTGTGACGTTCAAAGTTATTTGAATGTTAACTTTCGCTATTAACAGACACCGGACACTAAGAGATGATGTTTATACACTTAAGAGTACGAATTTTCCATCTGTTTATTGGTTACGTAGTACACCTTTATTATCTGTATGGTAAAAAAATGAAAATAACACTTTATAAACGTCATACCACCGAAGCGCTTTCTGGAGATGCCGTCATCAGGATCGCTCAAAGCCAAATATTTCAAAGACAAGGCTGTATAAGAACCGAAACAGCTGAAGAGCTATATGACCAAAAAGTACCTAAAAATAATAGCTAAATCCAGCTAAGGTCAACTTTGCCTAAAGGAGTTGAAATTATTCTTTGAAAGGCTGATTGCAGGTTAAATATTTGTTGTTGAATTGCAGACTAATTGACGTTTACCACCTAATCTTATTCAAATCAAATCTTTTTTATTGACACTTATCTGTATGATGTATTTGTGAATGAATTTTAAGAAGTATGCATATTTCTGTCTATAAAAGACACCATTTTCCACTACAAAATCTATTTACACCATCAACGGGTAGGTCTAACAGCAAGACACATGAACTCCATTGATAGTCTTACACATCTGCAAATACAAAAAAAATATGACATATATTTGCATGTGTAAATCTAACCAAAAAAGCTGAAGTTTCCCGTTGTAGATTGGTTGGCAATTACCACAAACCCTAATAGAATAGTTCAGTTTAGAACGGCGATAAAACTAGATTTAAATTGTTCGAGTTTTTTTTTTTTTTTTAATCTAACTAAAAGTTAACTTTATATTGTTCTCATCTAAATATAAAGAGAGGTCTTTAAAATTATATTGTATAAAACTAATGGTATATTGACAATATCAGACAATGCTAGCTGAAAAACCCAGCGCCATTTTCTCTCAAACTTTTCATCGATTATCAGAATTGTGTATAATATCTATATATTTAATTAAAATATGAGAAGCAAAGCCATTTTTGGGGGACTCTTAAGTAAAGGTATCTTATAGCAGATGTTTTATCTGTTGTCAATTTTGAATTGCAATCACACATTTTCTATTACACAAGACACCAAATCATGCAGCGTCCTATACTTAAAAATTCAGAATGGGGGAAGTTATTGATTTCATGTATGGACACTGCTTTTTCTGCACACAACACACTGCAAACTCTAATGGTGCGAACCCCTGATTAGGTTTTACTGGTACTGTTTTTTTTTTTGGTTTCCTATACGTGTTCCCAGTGTTTTTTTTAAAAGCACCTTAGATATGATCCCAATAGCATCTTCTCCCAAAGAAACTAATTGTATAACCATGTTTGGTCTGAAAATATTAAATCACAGCTAATTGGAGTATGCATTCTTTCACTGTCAACAGAAGAAGTAAATATAGGGTTGTGAGGGGGGACTTAAGCTTGTTGGCTATGGCCGTCCAGTTAATTGGGATACCTTTTTGTTTTATCATAAGAATAAAAGAAAATACGAGGTATATGTCGAGGAGACCTCAACTCGATGACATAAAAAATGAAAAGACAGGTATAGATCAACCTACGGTCAACTAACTAAAGACAACCAGTGACCAGTTACTACTTTGGGATAGACGCATGATCTTGCAACAGCCACCGTTACCTCAGCAGAATAATACAAGAACAATGAAGAATTCTACACCCCCAAAAAAAACCAGTACAGGAACAGTCATCTCTATAATAATGGTATAATTGACAACAAAAACATATGCACGAAATACAGAACAATAAAAAAAAATACGGTATCAATGATTTTGTTAAAGTAAAGCAAGCTGAAATACTTTGATCTGTTTAAATGAAATCATGACGTTCACTTTAACATTGACTATACATCCGAAAGATTTCAAACAGCAACGCATATACTGTACAGGAAGTCACATTCTTAATGTCTTAGGAAAGTTCGAATAGGACTTAAATGCAGAAGAAAGTAAAGAAAACACATTATAGTCTTATTTCAAACTTTAACGAATTAACCTCCATCATACCGTTCGTCATGATTGTAAAATATGACAGTGTAATCATACATTTAATGGAACAATCTATTATGCAAAAAAAAAATAAAAACTAAGACATGTCCTAAATGTGTTAGCTTTATAAATTGTAACAACGTAAAACACCGGACATAAATACTATTTGTTATTTAAGAAATCATTCTTCTACAATAATGATCTATATTTGTGATAAAATTAAATAAAAGTTAAGATCTCAAAAAACGGTTTATCCCCACCATATGTTCATATGCTTGTCCCAGGTCGGAATCATCGTTAGAGGTTGTCTTCATTTATAAGGCTTATCATTTCTCGTCATGTTAGTTAGTGTTGATGTCAAAATGCTCGTAGTTTCTGTTTAATTTATTCAAAACTTTTCTTCTAAGACCCGTGTCGATTTAGAGCCAAACGTATTGTACAGAAACTTGTATATTATTGAGGATCGTTCGTTGACCGACCTCTCGAATAAATACATTATTGATCAATTATTTCTTTCTAAGACAATTCAGTATTTTTTAAAGCAGTCCCAAATATATCGTTCCCCACTGATAAAAAGCTGCTACTGGTCAAACTTTGAATAGACCAACTCAGCTGAACTGCCCACAAGCAAAGTTCCATAAGAACTGATTTTACCACCATAAGACCAATGCTAATTTAAAGAAATCAAACATGACCTGAAAATTTAATCTTTCGACCTTCCAGATGGATTTAAAAAAAAACATTGATCAAAATGTTCATTCGCAGTCGCAGTTGACGTTTCCAGGATATTTCAAATGTTTTATTTTTGGAACTTTTTAAAAGAGTATTAGATTTGAATAACAGTACAGGATTCAAAGAGTTGCAATTAAATTTTTGGATTTGACGGTCGCAGATTTTCGTTTATAGCCAGTAGATAGATTCCCAATCGACGATGGCAAATCTTCAAATACGGTTCTGTTATTCATTAATACTAGTCTGTTTTAAGACCGGTCTCCTGTCTTTCATTTGATATTACTTTCTTTCCGTCCTTAGGGAATAGCAATTGTGATAATTATTTTATTAAACAATTTAGTAGATTCCCCCATGGGACTCTAGTTATGTCAGGTGAACAATACAGTTTTAATATAATTTGTATTTAACATGCTACATGTGTATCTCAATGTCTCCGACACGACAGGGTTAATGTTGATTACTTCAAGTTAATTAGACATTTCTGGCAGAAGGTCATTAGTTTGAAATGAAAAATGTCATCAAACACATAGTTCGTTTAACGTTTCGAATACATAAACACGAATACTATGACTTCATTAGTTAATGGAATATTTGATAGTATTAGAATATTTATAACAATTTATGTAAACAAAACAATTCTTTTAAACAAACATCTACAACGATACTGTAAAAAAAACCAATAAGGCACGGAAGATCGTCAATTTTGTCGTATTTTTTTGTTTTTAGTTTCTCGTGCAGAATTGAAATATTCAAATCAGAAAAAGACAATTATTGATGTTCATTTCAGTCAGTTCATTTAGGTACATTTCCGCACAAACATGAGATAATTTTTGATTATTTAAAGCAAAAACTATCATCAAGGTGACGTTTAGTGTTACCAGTATTATTTTTTTTCTATAAATGAAATCTAGACAGATGTTTACTTAGTTTGTACATGAACTGTGCTAACAATACAAGAACAAGTCTGCTATTGAAGGGGCACAGTTTGTGCCCATAGGAAAACCTGCAACCTGTTGTTAAACTTTATAGCCTAAAGAAACATTATTGATGTTGTCAAGCAGAAAATAAACAGCCTTTATCACAGTCCCAGTAATTATATATAGTGCATTTACCTCTTTTTAAATATGGAAAAAAGCCCGTCTAAGATAAACGTAATCAGACAGAACTACAACCAAAGATTTAGTACAATATCAGAATTTTATGTACTTGAAATTTACCCAAAATATATCATTAAAAGCTTTCCAAAACATGCTCTTAACTTTTGGAGACTGAAAATCCAACAGCGGTAGTAGCTCAGTGAAAAAAAAATATCGATAAAAAATATATGATACGATTTCGATTATATTCGCTTTGTGACATGGAAATCATTCTTCTTGAAAAAGACCAGGTAGATCTTAACACTTTATAATAACAGTATAGATAAATTTATGTACCTCCTCTATCAAAACAACAGATTCCAATTCCATCATCTGAACTAGTCATGGATTGGCAGTTGAACCATCTTGGCCATGGGCATCCTCTCCATTTTCCATCACATAAGAAGGGTCTTCGGGTATAGGGATTTCTTAAATAGAATCCAGTTTTACACAGTGCTGAGTATGGATCATACCATGTTCTTCTTCCCCAATACTGGGAAGTTACTACAGCAAAAAGAAAAATATATATATCTTTATCTATATAAATTCAAACATCATTATTACAAATAAATGTACTGCCATCTCTTCTGATTATCATATCTTGGTTCAAATATTGAGATTATGAGCCATTGAAATAAATTATTTTTGGCGATTGGTTCTTTGAAGAAATAAAATTTACATTTTTATAATATAAAAGAAAGATTTGTCGATAAATTACATGCGATTTTGCCGATTTACTTATGGAAAATTTAGTCTTGCAAAAAATTCTACTTGAGAGTCTATTTCATCAAAGCACTTCAAATCATATTCCTTTTTTTGCTAAAGAGGTATAAACTGAGTACTGGAATTCTAACGTTCTCTTTTTAAAGTTTAGAAAACTACTCGAGAGTCTATTTCATCAAAGCACTTCAAATCATATTCCTTTTTTGCTAAAGTGGCATAAACTGAGTACTGGAATTCTAACGTTCTCTTTTTCAAGTTTAGATTACTGGATTAGATTTGTCAACAATACATTTTTTGAAATATCAAATGGATATAAAACGCATGTTTTAGCAATATTCTACCCCATAAAAATTGCAATAAAAACATAGTATAACCTTTTAAAGATGAGATCACGTTGCTTGATAAATAGAAATACGATTAAAATGAAATGATCTTTTATGTCATAATGAGTTTACGAATTAGATATCTTTACATTTGAAAGATTATTTATGTTAGCCGATTTCAGTAAATTGAAAAATGTATTCATTTTTCTGTTCTTTTCTTTTATGGTTTTATTAATTTTTCTTTTCTTTTCTTTTATCTATTTATCATTTTGTTTATAAATTTCATATGTATGTTATCTGCTCCCAAAATTGTCACCCATTAATACAATACCTTTATCTTTCCTTTGATATCATTATTATTATTTAAAAATTGTTACGAATATTTTTTTTTCATTTTTTTTTTCAAAGAATTCAAAATATCTTACCAGTTGATGAGAGCAAACCAAGGCATAGCAGAAACAAGATGGCCTTCATTTTGTTCAATCAATTATGGTGCTAGCCGGGCTACTTTTCATCAGGTAACAAAGACTCTGATAAAGTATTCAGAACATAATTACAAACTTAATTTGCATAATTCTAAACCTGACTCATTTATATGCATTGTGTTAATGAGATGAGATATCTGACAGTGGTCGGTATGGTTTAACATGCTGTTTTTTAACATGTTTGATATGACAGTTTTATAAAATCATGTTTACTTTTTATTTATTACATGTATTACTGTAATTAATTTTGACACTAAAAATATACATTGTTTGTCATATGCTGTTTGTTATATGCATTCAGAACTTCTGGATTATTTTTGTCATAAAAATGGAGAATAGATGACAACATCTTGGTGCTCTGGGACATTTAATTAATAAATACTGCACATTTTCGAAACAGTTGATTGGCTATTAAACGAAGGCGTTTGAATGAGAATGATTTAAGAATATGTCATGGTAATGATTTTTTTTTAAAAGCCCATCTTTGTCAAGACATATAAGAACGGCTGTGTGCATAAACAAATTGAATATTTCTCTAAATACAAATATTTGTAGAAATAAAATCATTTCAGTTTCAAACTAACAAATTGAATCCATCTCATATTACTTAGGAGACGACCAATTGAATTTCGGGGTTAGGTTGGCAGAAGGATTTTGGAAATGAATTTGCAGGCCTGGTTAGAATTGAAAATAAATAGTCTTGTTCAAAACAGAATGAAAATGAAAATTCTGCCCGTGAAAGTTTATATATAAGGATATAATTGTGTACAATATCGTAATTTGTCTTACGAAAGACTGCCTAGCAACAGATGAAAGAGAATATTCCGCATGCTGCCAAAAAAAAAACCCTACTGACACCACATCCCCTCCAAAAAATCAAATGATCGTCCGCTAAATGCGTTAGGCCAGTTCTTACAGGCATTTAGGCTGTTTTCTGCTCTTTAGTCGGGTTGTTGTCTCTTGGACGCATTCCCCGTTTCCATTTTCTATTTTACTTTAACTCAAAAGAATAGACCAAATACCAATATAAACAAAGTTTAGCTTTTTGATACGGTGTAAAAATATTTAGATTCTACTGTCATATTTAATGAGGTTAATCTTTCATTTAGCGATACTGACGTTTGAAAAAAAATCATGGAACGGCAATGTGGTGGTTAGACGCTCACAAAAAAATAAAAAGTTCAATTAGGATATGCTCTTCCAAAGTTGAAGTGAAATGTTAGCCGGCACCAATCGTATGCTTCTAAAGATAATATTTGCTTTCAAAGAATATGCGCTATATTTGAAATATCCAATTGCTGAACTACATTATGAGGTCGATCCAAAACTGTTATCTAAACTAAAATATTGATAATATTCCCATTTTAACGCTTGCAACATTGGTTAGACAACAAGCCTCATAGTTGGGTGTTTAGATTGTATTAGGCGATATCTGTCAATCCCATATTGATGTAGACTTATTTTGAAAGAATAAGCCAAACAAAAAGGTACACGATAATATAGTCAAACCATCAATTTAGTGAATGGCAGTTATGACAATAAAATTTACAAAATACCATATTTTATTTCATGCACCATATGCGCATATGATCATTTTTTTTATTTTTTTCACTAAAAAATTTACTTTCAAAAAATATCAGACGTTGCAGAGCACTTTAAACAAAATAACACGAACAGTGTATAAAATCAATCAACATTTGGAGGATAACTAGGAAATTTTAAATGAATGTCGTTACAAAACCACCGACTAGCGGCTAGTGAAGCCCTGTATAGACTTGTATCCACAAGCAGTAGTATCGATTTAAATTAAAGTATTCAAAAGTACTAGATAATGTATTTTACTTGGTACCTTGACCATAAGCAAATTTCAAAGATTTATGTACCATCAGTAGTGCTCGAAACCAAATATTGGTATTGGTATAAATGTAAGACGCTGCCAAACAATAAACCCAAAATAACATCAGAAGACGCTTAATCTAGCAAAGGAAAACCTTTGCATTATGAGAAAAAACCGGTGTATGATACCAAGATGATATTCACTACTCATGAGTTGAGTTAAACCGACAGCAACATAGAAAAAAAAACACATAAAATCCACCAAAAAAAAAAAAACAAACAAAATCCACAAAAAGACAAACAATAACGATATAGAAAATTAAAGACTGAGCAACACAAACCCTACCAAAGAAATTGAGGGAGGGGTTCCCAGTTGATAAGTTATTGACAATTTTCATCTTTTTATAAACTGATTTTTTTAAGCATCATTTTCAAAGTTATATCAAATACGTACAAAAAAAAAACCGGCTGTAAATGCCGTAAGGAACTTGCAGTTCACCAGCAATACATAATTATAACATTCAAAATTTATTGGAAATTGCAATGAAATTAGAAAAATTCCACTCAATAAGAAGAGAAGATCATTGGGCTATGACGGGCTGATCCTCAGAAGTCATATTGGATATTCCACAGCCCAATTGAAAAAAAAAGAAACTAGTAAAACAGACTATAAGGTATATTATATATACATATATACAAGTCTAAATTGAAAACAACGTTCAAAACTATGATTGCGTTGGATAAAAACCGCATTTTTTATACGTGTGCATGCAAAACAAATTTCTAGGTAGAATGGTCTAAATACAGCACAAACAACATTTTCCAAAAGACCAAAAAGTGAAAAAGTATATTTTAACAAAACGCATTTGACTAGCAGGTCGAACAACGGATGTTCTTAAACCCTGCTGACTGCCATGGCGATTGCCAAATAAACGGATCACAAGATGTAAAAATGGATCTTAATTTATAAATTAAATACAAAACAGAAAACAATAAACTTGCGGAAAAGATGGTATACCGCAAACATGAGGTGCAAAAATTTGTACACCATATCCGGATTTCGACAATTAATGTCTCTTCAGTGATGGTAGGAATCGAAACGGTATTTGGAAGGCCATATAATTTACCTCAATTTGGGATTGCCTCTTGAATTTTGAAGAGTCAAAATAGGATGAACGGATCATATAAGCCCGAAGGCAAATATAATACAAGCCCAAACATATATATATATATATCTGTATTTTCATACAGCCAATACGTTACATGAATACAAAGTAAAACCAAATGCATGAACAGTATACGCAATAGACAGAGTGATAAGAGAAGCACAATTTTACAAATAACATCTAAAATAACAAAACTTAGCCAGTAGTACGAACATGATAATGTACACATTTTGTATACTGTTACATACAAAGTTTCTTCAATATTCCTTATTGTTACAGGACATCAGTTCTAAAAATTCAATGGCGTTTCGACTGTGTAAAAAAGGTTTACAATATTTCTTTTGTTTTTGTTCAAAAGTCATGCATTCAAATATGTGGTGCTCTCATCATCAACTTGTCTTTTAGTACATAAGCAACAAATGCCCCTATCTATATTCTGCCACCTACCACGTTCGATTGGCAGTTATGTGTTTGTTGTTTTAAATTTTTCAGAATTTAAAAGAATTTGAAAAACCAATGATGTTTTTCTTCAAATTCAAATATCGTTTTAAAGACTTATAGTTTGTTACTCAACTCCCTTATCCTTATTTCTTGGGACAATGGGAGAACAAATATATTCCGCAAAGAGACACTATTATTCAACCCAGACAAATAAATCTTATATCGGTATTTGTAATAAGCTTAAGAAACCCCTTCATGACATGACAACATGAATCAATACTGTAACTATGAGCAATCGAAGTTCATGTTAGCAACTCCATACAACTTTACCTTGTAATTTTACTATTCAAAATTATGCATTCCTGCATTATTAAAAAACTTATTTACAGTAAATCAAGACCAATTTTAAAACTAAAAAAATATTAACTCGAGCAAGACATCAAGTATTAATTTCCTTTTAAACCATAATTTTCATTAAAATTTAAAACAAAAAGTCGTTCCTACAAACGTTTTAACACTATATTGCTGCAATATTGGTCGTAGTACATTAAAAGGATATCAGTTCACAATCATGCATTGTTTTCTAATGTTCAATAGAAAGCTTAATTTTTGAATACCGTTCTTTTAATTGATATAGAGATATATCTGTAATAATGCCTGTCGTCGTTTGTCAAGCTCAGTTAAAGGATTCGATAATTTTATGATGTTGAAAACATTATTTCGTCTTTTTTTTTAAACCAATATTTTTGTCACTGAACCTTGTGATTGCTATTGTATATGTACATTGTACTTGCAATGTTAAAACAATTAAATCATAGGAAAGGTAAAGTTTGTATGTAACGGTAAGTCAATGGAAAAGTATATTATACTATGAAATTCAGTGCGAGTGGCTGAATTTCATAGTTTATACCTTTCCATTGACTATCCAATTTAGCACATATTTACAATTCGAGCAATCTTATAATTTGTCATTAGTAATTGATAGCTTATTTTGACTGACTACTTGTTTCACAGTTGTTTTTAAAACGAAGTTCATAAACTAAAGTTTAATGCTATGTAAATTTACTCACTAGTATCATAGCTGTCATATTTCAAATTGTTTAATTTGTGAGAGTGATTTGCCAGATCTTGAGTTTACAAATGCAGCAAACACGAATTAGGAATTTAATTAATGCTTAATCATATGTCCGCCAAGTATAAAAATGATGATTATAAAAGGCCCTTCACTTTAGAATGAAAAGATGGTAGCTTCTGGTCGAAGTATGTATAATGAGATAAAGATCTGTCTACTTCTAAAAAAATACATGATAGTAAGCTGACAAAATAGATTGACCAAACATAAATCGTGGTAGCGTGTTCGCCTCGAGTGCGGCGGGGCGGGGGCGGGGGGGGGGGGGGGGGTCGTGGGTTCGAACCCCTGCCGGGTCAAACCAAATATTTTAAAATTGGTATTTGATGCTTCTCCGCTAAGCCCCCTGCATTAGGGAGTAAGAGCAAAGAATGGTCGGCTCGGAGTCAGAATATTGTGTCCGGGTAAGATGATGTGTCTTCCTGCGGACTGTTACCTTGTGAACGAGCACGTTAAAAATCCGACTCAGCGTGTCGGTCGTCATTATTTTATTATATATACAAAAATTTCGTCCAATGTATTTGCTTAAATTTCTCTTCACAAGGTTTTATAGTACATAATTTGTGTGTGCACAAAGTAAGAGCATGGTTGACGGATGACCAAAATAATAAGATAGCGTTGAACTCTGATCACAAACTAAGAACCATATTTTGAATTATTTATTAAAATGATAGTATTTTGTCTTTAAACAAATTTTTAAAACCAAGAATTTTAATAGAAGGATATATAAAAATCATTGCGAAAACTAAATACACACACTTCTTTAATTTTGGAAAACAAAATTTTGTTCTAAAATAGCCAGTGGCACTTTTTGTTCTTAATATCATGATTACAAAACAATGAAATCTTAACCTTGTGGTCTTAACCATGCATAATAAATTAGTACACGGAAAAAGTATGTACTATGAAACGTAGAGGGTAAATTCAAGCAATTTGATTGGACGAGGGGTGGTAAATATATGCTAACTATATGATAAACTAAGACTTATTTCACCTGAGAATAGATGACATTTACATATATAGTTGAAAGTACGTCATATAAGTATGAAAAATTATCTCAACTAATTACAACATATTCATCACCACTTGAATATTTTGATAACAAATCTTATATGTTGACTTCTTCCTATATAGATCCAAGACTTGGGAAAGATTTGATCGAGAAAAAGAAAAACAACATAAGATGTAACAATATCATGAAAAGTTACCAAATTAACATACTATTCTTTTTGTATTTAAATCTTTGTACACAAGGATATCGTTAAGATCTATGATACTGTTGGCATCTATTTTTTTGGTAACCAAAAATTCCCTTTCGTTTCAATCTATCTCATGTGATTATATTTATCACAATATTCAATTTGTCATAATTTTCATCATTATCAAATGTAGTCCTCTTCATTATACCTGGAGATTGTATGTATGGTAAGGTAAAAAACTAAGTTTTTTTAGTTTCCACCTTTATTGTTGCAAACATTTGTGGTGTCTGTGGTATGCAACGAACTGAAATGGTCCTATTTTACATGTGTTTTATTCTTTTGACAATACCAGCGATGTTAACCATCTGCATATCCTGGCTGTCAGAACTATTATAACGGTAATTGATACTGTATTTCGCCAAACAAAAAAAGTTTCATAATAATTTCTCCTAGAACAAATATTAGAATTTCGTTATTGTCAGAATGGATGTCCCTTTTAGATGTTACTTTTAATAGAATTTGTCAAGTTCATAATTTCAACAATTTCAGTACAGTTCATCACCTTCGATTTTTTATTTACTTTTGTGTTAGCCACTTAAACAAGGGTTCTTAATGGTAAAGCTAAAATCAACCCTTCAAATGTTTTACGGACACTATCATGATTTGGTTGACCGTAATGGAGTATCTGTGTCACGGGTGACCACGGATATGTTCCAATTGTCGTAGCCACAATTCCGTCCTCTTTTCATCGAATGTGACGTCCCCGAATGCAACTTATTACCGAATTTTTACTTGCCATGAACAACAGGACGGGTGCCACCAGTGATGCAGACTCTTCCTACCTTTCCGGAACACATAAGATCAACCCCGTTTTTTGTGATAGGGTTAGTGGTGCTCAGTCTTTTGGTTTTTTTCAAGTGTTTTTGTAAAGAATTGTTTTTTTTTTGTCGTTTCTCTATTTGGCCGTGATATCTCCCTTTTTGTTTTTATTCATGTTTTTTAATTGTCCCCCGTGGTATTTTCTGCATCAACCTGTAACAGATTCCTCTTTTACATAAATAATGAAGTAACTCCTTGATATCGGAAAACTGTTTTGCTCAAATGTTTCTTTGAATAGTCATATTGTTGATATCATCAGAAGGGATTTTTCTTATTATGTTACTATAAATTGTTTTTATAAAAACTGTAAAATTTCTATTTCCAACAAATTCAGCAGAGTTCCTTCACTTTCGGATTTTGATCCATATGAGCTGGTGAAAAAAATGTTACTTCGGTATTGCATATGTAATTTCAGTCATAATTAAAATTGTATCTTCCTAGTATTTGCATTTTAGAAGATTTTTTAAATTGCTAAATAACATGATATGTGTCTGGGTTACTGAAAGCTAGTTCAAAGCCAATAACAACTACTAAATGAATCATGTTTCATTACGATGAACCAACTTCGACCACTGCATAACAGTCTCCTGACTCCTGACTAAACCCCTCCCCTAACCTGGGACAGTTGTGTTTCAGCACAACATAAGAACACACTGAAAAAATCAGTTGTCAATGGCTCAACTCAGTAGATCGGTACGAAGCACCAAAAAAATAAATAAATAATAAAATAGAAATAAACAACTAACACAAAAACCATAGACAAAAAGTACCGACATAAGAGTACTTGCAGATACGGAGAGCTAGTTCAAAGCCAATAACAACCAGTAAATAAATCATGTTCTCCCAGACTAATTTAAAGCATCAATCAGTTCAAATCCAACGGATTTAGAGTAAAGACGTCATAAATGCACAACCTTGTGCAATGTGTCTTTTTCCACAATTCTAGTTGCTGACAAAAATATAAAAATGCAATGGAACAGACCGGTCATTCGTTTATTTAAGAAAACCAAAACATAAACTACTGAAAAAAAAATGAAAACAACATTACAATGAAAATGGTTGACATTAAATAAAGGTGATTACATGTATATCACGAGATGAGTCGACCATCTTTAATACTGCATTCTGGTCTTGATTCACATCACGGCATGCACTACCACTCACTCCCCCAAATGCGTTGTCGCTGTCGCTGTTGTAGTCTTTATTTAAACATTGTATCTATAAAGAAAAAATAATAGATGTAAGAAAAATTAAAAATAATAAGAAGTCAGCACAGTTTAAGAGGGCACAGAACACTCAAGAAAGTTAATTCTTTAAAAATTATCTAAACGATTTAATCACATACTATTAGCAAAGAGAAATCAAGCTTCTCAAAGATCACAATTAGTGTTTGTCAAACTGCTATATATCCAATGAAATTATTCCTGTAAATTGTGTGTTTCAAATTTCTTGAATTTTTCTATATTTTTGTCAACAGGTCAAAGTAATTATTTTGTTACTGTGCTTATCCTGAAGGCTTTTGCCTATCACAATACCAATTGCTTAAATAGTTTACCAAATTGCAGTTTGAATTGATCTCAACTGGTAAAATATTTTAGCTAATTGCTTCAGTGAAAGTATGAAGTGAGTGCAGTGAAATAAAATAAAGCTTACCACCCAACAACAGTTATTTAATGTCTGTGTAATGTTACTTTGACATGAAAACTTCTATCCTAATGACATTTTATAAATAATTAGTTCTTACAATTGTTTGGTTAGCCAATAATTTCTTGCTTTGTTTTCTAACAGGAAGTTATTGTGTAATAGTAAGTAGGATATTTTGTATAATCACCATTACTGACCAGCTGACATTAAAGGGAAATCATTTTATTCAGTCATTGTAAAAAAAAAATATTTAAAGATACTAGGCTGATGATTTTGTACGCCAGACGCAAGTTTTGTCTACAGAAGACTCATCAGTGAGGCTCGAATAAAAAAAAATGAAATACCAAATTAAGTACGAAGTTGTTGAAGTGCATTGTTAGAGGAAACAAAATTCCGAAAGGTTTTGCCAAATACTGCTAATAAGTAATCTAATTCTCGGGGGTAGAAAATCCTTAGTATTTTGAACAATTCAAATTTTTGCAAAACAGTTAATTTATAATTTTGACCATGTGAATGATAATTAATGTCAACACAGAATTGCTGACTACTGGGCAGGTGATACCATCTTAATTTACAGAGGAATCTGTATGATTTATACAACTTTAAATGTGTCCCATAATATGTTTTCAACAGTTTTTTTTTTAAATTAACCATCTTAATAGTTTAATAATCATGTAAATAATGTTTAGAACAAATCACTAATAAAATGTCAATATGAAGGAAGTTGATTGTTGACAGAACAAAATTTTGCTGACTATAATGTAATTATTTCCCTGTATTATTTTTTTGCATTGTTTGTATACCAAGAGTGCCCACACTGAATGTCTCGCCTGCTTCACTGAACATGATGTTGAAAGTTTTTGATGATAATTGTTTTACTACAAATATCACACAAAATAAACATTATCAATAATCATTATTAATGGGGTTTCAAGTTCACATAAACCCTGCCAGATGGACATGTACACTTTACAATCATTCCACACACCGAACATAGTTAATAAACTCTGCTATACAGATATGTACAGCTTACATTAATCACGGTCGGAAACTTCAGAACATCAGGCTTCTGTATACCTGGTAAAAATATCCAGGTATTCTACATTATGGAATATAACGTTTGTACACATTTATCCCTGTCACATCGCCAAATTGGTATCCGTATGTCCCGCCGTCGCAGGCGAGACAATAATATCATTATTTTATGATATCAATTCTAAAAACACATGATTTAGTGACTAAAGTAATCTTGTATTATATAGTTGATGCCAAAGTTTAATTATGGTCGGGGTATTGCAATAAGTGTTGAAATGTGGACTATTTGCCCCAAAATTAGAACAAAACTCGACGAGACAAAACAAGGGATTGATAACAATATCTCCTCTACTCCCACAGGTTGGACAATGCTGTATTTTTATCCTCAATAATTTGTTATCCCAAACTTGTAAAAAACTACATACTGGCCATTGCAATCCCTTGATGTAGTTATTTCATGTCTCCAGTTAAGCTTACAACTACAAAATCCCCAAAGTATGTTTTGTTGTCATTGCATGGTATGAAACAATATTTAAAAGCAGAGTGCCATAAGAAGCGGAGAAAATTGTTAAAAAGCAGAGTTTTAACTGAAATCATGAACATTTCTAAATTGAAATAGAATTGTACCTAAATATCTTGCATAGGCCATGGTTTTAGCACAACATCTAGCATGTCCATGTTCGTTCATACGACTGCATACTAGCATGTTTCTTTGCTGCCGTTGCTGCCGTTGCTGCTGTCTTCTTCCCATACCCATCATTCCCATCATTCCCATGGGCATGCTTGCCGACAGCATTGAACTTGCAGCTTGACATGCATTTGGTGTGTTGGGATTACACAATTGATTAGCAATACTTGGTGTTTTTTCACATGCCCGATGTTGCATATAGTTCCTTGGACCCATAAACATCGCTTGTGGTAAGTCACTATTCATAGCCATTCGCATTTGCATCCAGTTGTTCCCCGTACCTCCCATTAAAGCTGAAGGATCTATTCCACCACCCATCATTCCAAATCCACCCATTCCACCGCCACCTCCACCCATGCCATTGCCCATTGAATTCATTCCTTGTCCATTCATTCCGTGTCCTGGTGTTCCTTGAGCTTGTGCCATTGCTTGGCCTTGTCCTGCCATTGCTTGGCTTTGTGCTGACATTCCCTGTTCATGTCCTGACATTCCTTGGCTTTGTGCTGACATTCCTTGTCCTTGTCCTGACATTCCTTGTCCTTGTCCTGTCATTCCTTGATCTTGTACCGTCGTTCCCTGAACTTGTCCTGACATTCCGTTTCCGGCTCCTTGATTATCCATCACTCCTGGTCCCAGACTATTAGTGCCCATTGAATGGGAAAAGCTCATTACGTTTGGAGAGCTCACAACTTGGCCATGACCATTTCCCAAGCCTATCCCTCCACTTCCTGTCCGCGGTGGAAAATTACGTCTTTGGTTGGAAAGTCCCATCGATTGCATATGTCCCATTTGCCCATGTACGATTCCATTGCCAACTAAAATTTAAGAAATATTAACTAATGAAGTAAATAAAGCATAAACATTGAGGGCAACTGTTTTGCTGTCATTACATCCTTACTAGAACACCACGTTTAACCTGCTACCATTACATATCTATAAGACATATATGTGGAAATGAAACCAGATTGCATCGCCGTAGCGATATGTTCCACGAGCAGTATAAATGAGAAATAAAATTGTGTATCACAAGGAGTCATTGTGGTATGATAGTCAAAATACCTGTAAAATGGTCGTTCACAAGTCGTATTGTCACAATAGTCGAAAACAAATAGTCAAAGTGCCATTACTTCTGATAAAAGCAGTCTATATGGTCAACTTCACATGATGGCAAACAATAGTACTAAGTATAAGAGCTTTCTGTCAAATGGTCTCAGATGGATTGCTTTCACAAGGTGTTATTGTTACAATACTACAAAAAAAACCAGTCAAAATCCCATAACTCCCGTAAAAAAAATCGGTAAAAAATGACGGTATCATATGGCAACCATATCCCTTTCAAAAATGAAAGATTTCGGTAAATGATCTCAGAGGGATTGCATTCACACTGTGTTATTGTCACAATACTAAGAAATGGCAAAGTCAATTAAATCCTGTAAAAATGGTTGATTCAAAATGTAATTATGATCACCTACACAAGCCATGATGGCATTATGATATCTTTATGTCGAAGGTTCGCAGAGAATTTGCTATCACAAGTTGTTAATGTCACAAAAAATAGTCAAAATCCAATAATTAAAGAAAGCAAAATCATCGAATCTAAATGGCGGTACAATATGGTCATCTAACATGATGACAAATAATCCTACCAGGTATGAAGGCTTTCTGTAAAACAGACTGAGAGGAGTTGTTTACACAAGGTGACTTGCTGGAGATAAAAGGACATCACTTGGCCGCTTGTATTTAAGAATTAAAAAAAACAATATCGAGAAGAACAACTTGAGGTTCAGTACCTTTTGTAACAAATTATATTTTTATCATTTTAACTAGTTTGACTTATTTTTTGCGTTTCTCTTATTTATATCAACTCGCATTTCACAAACACAAGGATCTTTAAACAATCTGGGTTACTCAAAATATATTTAGTTTTTTTCAACGGTAGATGTTTAAACAAACGGAAACAGAGAAAAGGGATCTAAATCTGTATATGTAGATAATCGTCGAAGTCCTTTTTACAAATTGGACAAATAAGAAGGTTGTGAAATATTGTATAATATCTAGTAAATTATTAGTTTTAATGTGTAAGTATATCTTTCTCATATTCATTCTTTCACAAGGTTTGCCGCCATGTTGTTTGTGATTGATTACGACAGAAATCCGGTGAATACGGTCTATAAAAAATAGCTATCACAAGCGCTTGTTACTAATCATATTCAAGAATTGCTAATTATTCAAATAATATAAGAATTTATCAACATACCTTTCAAACTTTAAAGATATGTGGACGCTTTCTTAACCATTATTTTCTTTAAACGTAGGCTTTAAGGAATTTCCTAACCTTAAAAAACCTAAATGCACTAGTAAAAAGGAAAATAACAAAAATACCGAAATCCAAGGGAAATTTAAAACGGAAAGTCCTTTATTAAATGGCAAAAACAAAAGCTCTAACACATAAAAATATGGAAAAATAGTTGTTACCACTGTTAAGACTTAACAGTTCAAAAGAATGGTATGATTTATCAAGGACTATACATTAAAGTCAAATTGTAATGGTATACCATACTATATTTGGTACTATATTATAAAAGGATTATTACAAAAATAAGGAATTGCATCGTCATTCGCAGTATATATCATATTTTAACTGCCAGTTCGTGCAATTTGATTTTCCTCTCTGGACAATAATTCGTTACAATTTTGCTCACATACCTCACGACTCCATATAAAAGGGAACAGCTTATAGTGAGCGGATGACATAGTTTTTTCTGTCTATTTAAGGCATGAATAATTTCTGTTATGATTTCAAACAGATGTATTGTTTTATAATGACTGTTTTAGTAACTATGACTTTGACCTTAGACCAAATGACTCCAAAATCAAAAGGGAACGTCCTCATATCATATGTGACCACAAATCAAAGTGAGGTTGTAGTAGTATTTGAAATAACATCCTGAAACTTTACTGCTCAAATAGTTTTAGTAACTTTGACCTTGATCTCAGACATAGCAACCTCAAAATCAATAAGTATATTCCATTCCAAATGATTTGGCATCCGAAAACCACTTTTCTGTAAAAATTTCTATTAGTCTATTTTAGTACATTTGAACTTGACCTTGATGTATTGACCTCAAAATAAATATACAGTATAAGTGACAATATCTCCAAATAAGAACGAAATCCGATATGAAGTATTTGAATAAAAATCCGGAATAGGCAAATTGACTTCGTAGCGTGAAATAAAAAAAAATATCCGGTATACTATACCCCTTTTATTACTTTAGATCGCAAGAAAAAACTTTAAAGATGAACGACAGAGTTTGTCTGTATTTTGTTGTCTCCGATGAACGAAAAGAAATATATCCACAGATGCAAATAATAATAAAACAGGATTTAAAGACAATAGTACAACGGAACTGGGCTGGTAGTCCTCAAATATTCAATAAACAGGTGTTTATAGTTATTTCAATTTAATTTGAAGTCATTAGTTCATTTGTTAGAATCTCTATACAGGTCATAACATTTATATAAAACAAGTTTGATGTTATTAATAAAGAATGTTTATCAATGGAAATTTATTATTTAAAGTAAAAATGAAAATAAGTAGTTTGAACAAAATATCTTACCCAAAGTTGTGAGTCCGAACAAGCTAAGGAAAAGATATGGGTCCATTGTTAGAACTGTCGAATAATATCTAGGTGTGATCTAAAAAACTACATTATTCATGTTTGTCTTATAACAAATGTTCCTCACGTCATGGTGGTTGTCTAGAACATTGCATGCTTTCTTTATATGACATAAAAACGTGACGTTTTAATTAAGAAATATAACATATATAAGGTTTTTCATGTTTAATTTATTAGATTGTTAATTATGATTAAGTCTGTAGGAACACATTTCACCTGTGAAACTTTGAAAATGTCAAAGTTTCTTTTTTAAATAAATTGCATTAAACGTCATAAATTGATCATTGAAAATCCAAATGTACCTTGTGCAACAGCAAGAAATAGACATTTCATAAAAAGTGCCTACATATATTTATATAACACAATTCAAACTTACATGTGAATCTCATTTATTGCTGATAGGCTATGCCATAAGGTTCCAATAACTAAGGTTTATAAGGCAAATAATGCTAAAAATTAAATTTAGTGTAATACAAATGTCTGTACTTTTTCTGTTTATTGTGTCTGTAAAGCTGCCTTCGTAGCAAAGAAGTAATCACTTGTGCGTACTGCGTCTTTCACTATTTTTTAATTTGATTCATTCCTTTTGATTTGAAAAATATCAGAGCATAAGTATTAGTCTGTTCACGTATACATATCGTTTGGTTGTCCATGGAATCACTCTCGTCGAGGAGCGATACGATAAAAGTATTTTCAAAGTCCTACCGGTAAACAGTAAAACGAATAAAATGACGATAAATACAACACATTCTGACCTTATCCTGATTTTCAAGTCTATCAAAAAACAAGCTGAATGCACTTTATTTTGATGTTTACACAGTCTATCTTTCCAGTTGACGTAAAAACGTCATCGACCCATAACTCAATTATATAAAATGACATCTTCCAACATTGCGGCAACTTGAAAGTTTCATCAATAACAAATAATTGGTCCATATTTAATAGTGAGTTTAATATAATATGTTTAAATCCAATAAATTTTGTTCATTGCTGGCTAATTTGTCAGAAGAATTTAGTGTGTCGTTTCTGAAACTCATCGCTATATTCGACAACCTACAGCTTGTCTGTTATTCGGTTCTAGTCCCAGATTGTACGTGGGAAAAAGCTGTATATGTATGCATCCGAATGTGTCTCTAGTTAATCAATTAAAATTCTTTTATGATGAACTTATTTTATTTTCAATGGTGCGCTAAATTATACAAGACAAGACGATTCTGTTCTTTAAAACCAATGTATGTTGTTCACATCGGCATACCAGTATGAAACATAATATAGATAATAAATTTTACACATGACAAGGTCAGAATGTTACAATTGATTTAAATAAATGATCATTATAGAAAAATTGATAGACAAGGGCGAACCTGGAAGACCTTCTAGTATATTTATTATACCATAGTATATCTTTTAACCCTTTTCTATGTGTCGTTCGTAATGAACGACAACTTTTGATAACTTTACTCTGTAAAAGTAAACTATACCTAAAAATAGACATTCTGCTAACCAAAATGTATCGTTATGTTATATGTCTGATATGTCTTTTGACGAATTACATATATCCGAACGTCAGTTTAGTTGAAATAGGTCAAATAGCTTTTGTTTTAAACTTTCACCATTCATGTTTGCGCTAATTTGAAAATTAGTTTGGGATGACCAAATATTACTGTAACCACAAGTATCAAGACTTTTTTTTATGGAATTTACACATTCAGACATATAATAATTCTGTATATATTTTAAACACATACATTTATACAAAATGTGTGATAACTTATTGTTATTGCCGCGAACAATTTAGCATATTCAATTTGATGTAGACTACAGGATGTACATAAATGTCACAGTACACCATGAAGTTAAAAGTCGGCTTCTTTAAGTTCAGCAGTAGCTTGCACAATTTCAAGTAAAATGTCCCTACAATATCTGTGTTACTGAACTCACAAATTTACACCCATAAGATAAAATAAGCTCCATTATCGTATCGAATTACATATATGCGTTTCAATTTTTATGTTATTTGCGCTTAAACGCAAGAACATTTTCTTTTATTCTAGAGGACACATGAGCTTCTTTGTTTTATTACTTTCATTATCCTGCATCTGAGCTTTATAACCTGCAGATTAAGTATGTCCTTCAATACTGAATTTTACAAAAAATTATGTAAAATTAGGTATTGGAGGTGTCTCCTCGGCACTGGCCATTTCTGTTTTAAAAAAAATTTACAAACCTTTTTATCATACAGTAAAAACTTCTAAAAGTCTTGTCTGTAAAAGGATCTTCCCAAAAACAATGTAACAATCCGTCCCGATACCTCAACTGAGACTTTTATGTTCATCAATGACGAGCAGCACGACTGGTAAGCTTAAACTGGAGTTCTTGTACAAAATGAAAATGTTCGCCTGTTAACCAACCAATGATCTTTTTCAGTGATTAATCTGAATTTCATCTGTTTGTCTGTTAAATCATTAGATTAATATGTTTCATCTGAATTAGACTCCACATCAATGTTTTTTTTTATTCAGAACTCCGATGCTCCTTAGCGTCAAAGGAACCATATAATCAACATCTTCATTGAACGATACCCTGTCTTTGGGCCCTTCTGCAATATTCACGATTACTTCATGACTTGTTATTGGAACCATTAAAAGATATAAGAAGATGTGGTATGAGTGCCAATGAGACAACTCTCCATCCAAGTCAAAATTTATAAAAGTAAACCATTATAGGTCAAAGTACGGTCTTCAACACGGAGACTTGGCTCACACCGAACAGCAAGCTATAAAGGGTCCCAAAAAATTACTAGTGTAAAACCATTCAAACGGGAAAACCAACGGTCTTATCTATATAAAAACTAAGAAACGAGAAACACTTATGAACCACATCAACAAACGACAACTACTGAACATCAGATTCCTGACTTTGGACAGGTGCAAACAATTGCAGCGGGTTTAAACGTTTTAATGGTACCAAACCTTCACCCTTATCTGAAACAATAGTGTAACATCACAACATAGAAAGACACACTATAAAATATCTATTGAAATGGCTTAACTCAATCAAAAGACATATTAACACCAGTGAACATACACTGAACAAATGAATTTGGTCTATGATACAATGCAAATACAAAATAAATAAACTAAGAGAAGAATAATAAAAGTAATATTTTAAACCGCTGTGAAATGTTAAACAATTTAAGAAAAACAATATGCTTGAACAAAAATATCAGCCATTTGCAATTACTTTAAACACAGGTAAATGAAAATAATTTTGTTGTTAGGTAAACGTGTACAGTTCAAATAGAGAAAGGAAATATTTTTACAAAATAAATAATTTTGATGTTCATAGTACGAATAAGTGAAAATTCATAGTAATACCAAACACTTATCAAAGCTGATATATAGACCAGTTATAACCCTGAATAACATTAAATAACAAAAAAGCATTACAATTAGTACCAACAGGTCAAATAAACAAGAAAGTATGATTTGAGAGTACTCGCAGTTACTGACAGCTTGATAAAAGCCAAAAGCAATTAATAATAAAAATTCATGCATCAGAGACTAAAATAAACTAAAACACATCCCAGGGATTAAGTATTTTAACGTCATGGACAAAGAAGACATGACTTGTGCAATGCCATAAATAAATGTATCGACAGGCAGTAGGATAGTTAGGAGTTAACCTCTTTATAGTTCAAATTGAACGTTGGTGTGTCTTTATACATCCCGTTTGAAAAGAATACAAATTTAGTTATGTTTTTATTTGCTGACGACAAAATCGATATTAGTGCCAATGTAAACTATATTCAAAGATCTAATAACAACATTGGTAAGATAACCTTTACTAATAAGTTTGTTTAAAGGTTCGATGAGTTTACACGGATCACATAGTGATTTCCGCGCTTTAAGAACAATATTACCGTAAAATTTAGGATGTGAAATACCGTTTTTAATCAGTTTTCTACAGGTACAGCCAAATTTACTAATCAAATCTTTGTATCTATGAAAGAATTTAGTAGATGTTTAACGTAATTTATGGTAACGAAATCCCTGACTTAATAATTTACCAGTGATGCATTGATTACGTTCGTTAAAATCTATGACATCACTACACACACGGGCATAACGAACGAGTTGGGATATATAAACACCGTATGATGGAGCCAAAGGAACATCGCCGTCTAAAAAAGGAAAATTAACAATAGGGAATGAAAAGTCGTCTCTTTCGTCTTCGATTTCATACAGCAAAATGCCAATTTTATCACAAATTCTGACATGCTCGCGGTTGTAATTAGCAAATCGAAGATACGACTCTACTTCCTTTTTCCTTTTAGGTACCGGACATTTCTACATAGTTTCTACTTTTTCGAGATTCCTTTTGCCCAGAAATTTAGCTTTTTATATAAAAGGTTAAATTTTCGGCGGTCATTTTTTGTATGTACTTTCTTAACCTATTCAAAACTGCGGTTAATTTGAAATTATGAATTCTGAACCCGTATCCATGCACGAACAATGAATTTCTGAATGTTAAACCGTTCAATACCATAACTTTACTGAAAATGGCGGACGAGTTAAGAGTCCAAATGGTAGTTTTGCGATTTCAAATATGTCATATTTAGTTATAATAGCAGTTTTATGTTAGTCTTTTTCCTTTAATTTCCAACTGATAATACCTCTCAGCCATATCAAGGGTACTCATGTATATACTTTTCCTTCGCGTAACGAAGCAACTTTTCAAATTTGGTAATGGAAAAGTATATTTTCTTGTTACTGTTTTCAAAGTTCGAAAATCAATACAGTACTTAAGGAACCGTTCTTTTTTCTTACCAAAACTGGAAGCGAAGCCCATTCTGTTTTAAATGAGTCTTTCCCCTGATTTACGAAACCAAGTGGTGGACACTTTATTCACTGTTTCTATTGCATGCTTAATGTATCCTTTAAATAACCAAACAACTATATCATCTTTATCAAAATTCTCCTGAAACTTTCTTGTAGCTTCCCTACTTCAACTACCCCTGTTTATTGAGGTGTTCATTATATCTGATGTAAAGGTCCTTGATATGAGTTGGCATTTTTTCTTTCAATCTTGAAAATT